CTGATACCCGACGCCAAACGCAGTGACAGTGTAGTCGGCACAGGCTCTCAACCACTCTTCATCGCGACAGAGCTCTTCTCCCATAAAGACTCTGGTCGATAGACGAGAAACAATTTTGATAATCTCCTCTCGAGGTACAAAATCATGCCAATCTAGTAACTATCGTCAGAAATGTCTTGTGACGTGTAGAACGATTGGACTTTGCAGTACCTGTTGAATCTGTCATAACCTGGCGCAGAACAATGGTGGCTTCGTCGGAAATCGGCTTGGTCAACTTCGCTGCGAAGTGATGTCAGTGCAAACACTCCGGCGCTTTACCAAGTATGTACTAACTGAGAGCCTTTGTGAGATATTTTGTCACCATTTGTGGGTGACCCTCCTTGGCCAAAAATGGATCAAAGCCGGGGATGTAGCCGTGGCCGTCCTACTCATATTAGCCAGAGAAGAAACATAATTTAAAACGCTTACATCATTGGATGGGGTTATGAAGTCTAGGCGCGGGTCATTTCGAAGCTCTTGGAGATAGTCTGCAGGAAGCACCACAAGACTGCCCCATTCAGAGAGTATCCTATATGGATTCTTCCCAAAGGTTGCTTTGGCCTGAATCATGAGCAGTTTCCCATTGTGGATGAAATCGTTTACGCGACGCTGGTTAGTAACTTCAAGTGCCTTGCGAGGGTTGACTTCTGGGAGACTCTGGTCATGACCGGCGACAGTGTAGAAAACCAACAAGAGAAGAAATCCGGTAATGATATAGTGAATAGGTTTCTCGGTGGGCGTAGACGCCATAAAGACATCTGGGATAAAGCTCGAGAAATGGTTAGCTGACATCTTCGCTGGTTTTTGAATGGTTGTCATGACTTTAGAATGCTCTGAACAGTTGTCAGGGCGTTCTGTTTTATATGTCTAGCTCAAAGGAAAGGTTTCCCCACGTGAACCGAGTTCAGCATCAAAAACCTAATCATCACAGGTGACAGGCGAGAGTTTCCAAGTCTGTTCAACTTGAGTGATAAATGATGCGAATTGAGTTCATGCAGAACGAATCTTCAAATCCAATGGCTTGCAGAATTTCTCCCTGCTGAAGTCCGCACAACATTTCCGGCACCGCATATTGTTGCTTGCATGTTGGCGCAAGACGGATGCCGTGAACTCCCCGAACTGCCGTGCTTACCACTGATACTTCGGAGACTTTACGTCGATCGTGGGGCCCCTCGGTCGGGAGTTGCGCCGGCCACGCACGGTGGTTCCTCTCGAGGAGGACAGTAGTTCATGGGGCGACGCTTTGAGTTTCGGCGACTAATACCAACTTTGCCAGCTGAACCCCACTCTTGCCGGGAGCCCGGCCGAAATTTCCTTTCTCGGTGCCGTCGTGATAGCCTAGCTCCGCTCCGCATGCTCCATGTTAGCACCCGCTGCGCGATTCCTCCGCTTTAGTTGCAGGCATACGTTGAGCGGACTTTGGAGATGTTCAGATGTTGCAGAGCTGTGGCTGGTTAAACAAATATTGCCGCACGAGACTGTTTCTCATAAATTGGCTCCCGTCGGCCCCTGTTTTCAGCTTTTATTAGCCAAAGTCTTCATAAATTTCGCACTCTTTCGCCCAAAAACCTGAAATTTCAGCAATGCCAATATGACTTCGTCTCCCAGCTCTCAAGAACCTTGGTCACTCGTTGGGAAGACCGCCATCGTTACCGGAGCATCTCGTGGCATCGGAAAGGCTATCGCCATTCACCTAGCCCGTAAGGGTCTTTCCAAGTTGGCTATTACCTTTGCAAGCAACTATCAAGCTGCACAAGACACTCTGGACGAGTGCCGCAAGCTCGGAGTCGAAGGCGTCGTCGCCATCCAAGCAGACGCTCTTGACCCTTCGTTTGGGGCAAAGGTCGTCTCTCAGACTCTCGAACACCTTTCCACCCAGTCGATCGATATTCTTGTCAACAACGCCGTCCTCGGGGACCCCTCAAAAGTGCAGCCAGTCAGCAACACAACACTGCCGGTCTTTCTTGAAGTGATGCAGGCGAATGTCTTCGCCCCCATCTCTTTGACCACCGCTGTCCTGCCGCATTTGCCACCTTACGGGGGCCGAGTTGTTACCATATCGAGTGTGCTGGCTTATCAGGCCAACTTGGATCCCACCATGACTTATGGAGCCAGCAAAGCTGCTCTTCAGAGCTACACGCGCTCGCTCGCTGAACAGTTCGGCAAGACCACCAAGGCTACCTTCAACAGTGTCATTGTTGGTCTAACGGCGACTGACACGATCAAAAACAGTCAGGATCTGCTTCCTGCAGGGTATATGGAGGGGCAAATTCGAGACACAACGGCGGCTGACCGCATCGGGGTCCCCGATGACATTGCTTATGTTGTTGGGTTTCTTGCTAGCGAAGAGTCCCGTTGGGTCAATGGGGCTGCTGTTAGTGCCAATGGAGGAAATCGCCTCGTGATGTCTGCTCTCGGATAACACATGTGCTTGCCTTGAAACTTTCAATAGAACTTTCAATTCAATACTATCGAGAACAATAATCGCACTTATTATAAAGCTCCTCGTCCGGTATCACCAAATTGAGGCTCAATTATCCTGACCAAGGTCCTGCTGTCCCAGACTGCCTCACGCATGCGTGCTGAGCGAAGAATATCCAATGCTCGTCGTCGGTGTCTCTCTTCATCGCTATAAAAGCAGATAAATGACACGGATGGCGAGATGTGGCTCTCGAGGGTGAAGATGGGATGTTTCGAGGAGAAGAGTTGCAACACAAGTTCAGCTTGATCGAGAATCCTATCTGCTTGCTCGGGAGATCCGCTGGGAATCTCGTCGAGATTAGTTTCCCATACGCGCCGCCGTAGTTCGAGCATTGCGATCTCATGACGTTCGCGCTTAGTTGGCCCTCTTTTCTCGGCTTGTTGGACTGTTTTGTCGAATCGCCGGCTCCAGATCCTAAATCTGCTGACGACAGGGCCTATGTCGAGGCCGTCCGCATACGATGGGCCATAAGTGGCGTTGATTTCTGGATTGGCAGCCGCTGGGTCGTATCCGTTCACATAGATCGGCGGTTCAGAGGCCTTTTGTTGGAGGTTCTTTTTGTAAGCCTGGGCTAGGATGAAGGCCCTGTTGTGGTATGTGGCAAGGTCGATGTAAGATCATAAAGCGAGTCTCGGGCGACAGTAAGATCGCGAAAAGATTGCGATGGATTACTGGGTTCCTTCTCAGTGGGCTTTATGTAGGCCCTTAAATCCGGCACGACTTCGTCTTCTTTGTACAGAGACGCTTGAACGCCAATGCGGGCAAACAACCTGGCGATCTCCTCCATGGAACTCTCTACACCAGCGGCCGTCTTTCCGGTCTCGGTCAAGAGATGAGGAGGACTGGAAGTGATCAGTCTTGCACCAGATCTTAGATGCTGTATGGATTCGTCTGGACGACCTCGAATGTTCTCGAGGCAGTAAAACAACAAGGAACAGGTGACGATTGTTCGAACGTCCATCACCCCAGATAAGGTTGCATTTGGTAGCAGATGGCCAATGGCTTTGTTATACTGCTGAACAGCAATGCTTTCTAACTGTTCTCTTGCGTCGGATGCTGAAGGGTCAGAAGCCTCCAGTAAGAATGCTCGATGAGCGACGCCGAGAGCTGTGGCGGCACATCTCACGGCCGGGACTGCGTTGCCCAGAGGCAGAATGTGCTGGTCCCAGAAACAAGTGGAGTAGGGCGGCAATGCAAGATCCGGGAGGGTGCATGTCCGAAAGTGGTGAAAGAAGGCCGAGTCTGTATGATCCCGTAGAGCATCAGGGTCGAGGCATGCCCGAGGTAGAGGTAAAAGAGATGACACTTCGTTCCTTGGAGGCGCGCGCGTCTTTCGTGACTTTTTCTGGGGGACTTGCTTATCTTCCGTTACGGGATAGCCGTCGCATACCACTTTGCTGACCTGGCCTGTTCTTGATTGGTCCAGCCGTATATATCAAACGATGGGTTGTATTCGATTCACATTTCTTGCAAGTCGGTTTGGCCTCGTCACATTTCACGTGGCGAATCCTGATTTTGGAGGAACGAGGTCAGGATTACGACGGAGCCAATAGGATAGAGTTACTCACTTGCTGTGGATGGATATGTACGGTCAGTTGTGCTGCTTCTTAGCAATGGCGTGGAGTGAATGGACTGCCACCTACCATGTCAGACAACCTGTTCTAACCTTGGGAGCCGAAGCTCTAGTGTACTTCGGCTTTGTCCGGACATCCATCGCGCCGCTCATCTTGCAAGCAATTTCAAATCGTCGCAGACTCAGGGTCCAGGGGATAGAGACTCTGTGCCGGGCAAAATGTCAGGCCTGGAAGATTTGCTGTTGTCGGCGCAAAAGACTTGTGTTACTCAGACAGAGAAAAAGTGTCATTAGAGGCCGGGCCGAGCTGCTAAGCCTTACCGAACCTAGCTGTGGATCACGATAGGGCCGATCGATCCACAGCACACAAGCTTAACAGCAACGACGTCCTCCCATTGGCTGCGTCGTAAAAACAGGGGTGTTACAAAACCATGTTTCAGGCGGGCTACAAGTGGCAGCGCCTTCTCGAGCTCCACCATCATATAATTGTTGTGCCCATGAATCATGAATTCAGTAATATGGATCGGTGAACCTCAAAGGTTTTTCTCTCCGGCTGACTTCCTTCCTTCGATACCCACCATGGAGAGGAGAAGCCTATCCATGAGCTATCGTGATTGCTCCCAATGGTTATGTTGTCGGTCATTAGCCTTCGCATGAAATGCTTGTGGAGCAATTCCAGTCCCTCGGGAGAAGCTAACGCAGCACGCCAAGAGATGGTACCCTTGATGGAAGACGGGCGAGGCGACATGTTGGTTCCGCAAGTCCGTCCTCGAAAAAAATGATGAGACCCAAAATATGATTCTACTCACGTTGGAAAGAGTCTATATAGTGAGCCACCCCTTGGGGAGATAGGCTGGGAGATTTTGAGTACAATCTATCGTTAGAACCTCTTTCTTCATAGCAATGATGCTCAATGCCCTACTTTTATCGCTGGCGGCTGCACCGACACTGCTGTTCGCGGCGTCATGTAAGTCGTTTCAACCAGAATTGCTCCCCAGTCACATCCAACTGACACTCCACGGCACAGCAAACAGCTACGGAACCACGACCATCGACTGCCCCGTCAACGAGCGGCCCGCGATCAGAGACTTCCAGTCCCTCTCCGCAGACGAGAAGCTTTGGACCCAGAAACGACGGGCGAATACCATACCTGCCTTGCGCGATCTAATCAAGCGACTTGATATCGCCGACTTTGACTCGGACGGCTACTTTGACAGCGCGAAGGATGTCTCTGCGTTGCCCAACATCGGCATTGCCCTGTCAGGAGGCGGGTGGCGTGCTCTCATGAACGGAGCCGGAGCCATCGCCGCGTACGATCAGCGCACGCCTGGTTCTACCGGTGCGGGACAGCTCGGCGGTCTTTTGCAGTCCGCAACATACCTCACGGGGTTGTCTGGTGGCGGATGGCTCGTGTCTTCCCTATACGCCAACGACTTCCCCTCGGTGCAGAGTATTGTCGACACGCGTAACTCGACCTCCATTTGGCAGTTCCAGAACTCCATTTTTGAGGGGCCCGATATGGGCGACACCGGTTCTTCGAATGCTGGAGCATATTTTGAGGCGATCGTTGACCAAGTCGCTGCAAAGGTTGACAGTGGTTTCAATACTACTCTAACCGACTTCTGGGGCCGGGCGTTGTCGTTCCAACTGATTGATGCCTTTGGGAAATCCGGTAAGTCTTGCGACTCTGGGCTCTGCATACGAAATTGGCTTATTTGTCCCAGTTTCAACATTTTCCTCGATCCAAAACATGACCGGATTCGCTGCCGCCGAACATCCCTTACCAATCCTCGTGGCCGATGAGCGCGAGGAAGGCCAGTCCGTCCTATTCTCGACCAACACCACCAATTACGAGTTCACACCGTGGGAGCTGGGGTCTTTCGACTCCGTCGGATTTGTTCCTCTTCAATTTGTTGGATCCGAGTTCGAAGCTGGCAAAGTCGCGTCTCACGGAAAATGTGTGACTGGATTTGACCAGTTGAGCTTCGTCTTTGGAACCTCAAGTTCATTATTCAACCAGTTCCTACTCCATATCAACAGTACCGACATGGTACCAGCCATACTCAAGGATTCCCTGACCAGTATTCTTGTCGATCTGGACCAAACCCAAATGGATGTTGCCAATTGGTCACCGAGTAGGTCCCACAAGATCACTTGCCTGGAAAGTCGACTGACTTTGGTCATAGATCCATTCTACCACTGGAACAATGCAACGAACGCGAATTCACAGACGAAACAGTTGACTCTCGTTGACGGCGGCGAGGACCTCCAGAACATCCCTTTCACACCTCTGCTACAGCCCGCGCGCGAAGTCGACGTCATCTTTGCCGTCGACTCCTCAGCCGACACACTAGATCGCGAGGGGCCAAACTGGCCAAACGGAACTGCGATGGTGGCCACCTACGAGCGTTCGCTATTTCAAGACGACGGTACCACGTTCCCTCCGGTACCCGATGTTAACACTTTCATCAATCTGGGGCTAAACTCCCGTCCTACCATGTTCGGATGCGATGCCGCGAACCTGACCGCCAACAGCACCGCGCCACTGGTTGTTTACCTCCCCCATTCGCCTTACGTGTTCAACTCGAACGTGTCGACCTTCACACCAAGTTACCAACTCGATGTTCGGAATGCCATCATCCGGAACGGGTATGATGTCGCCACGAGGGGCAACGCTACGGTTGACGCGCAGTGGCCTACGTGCGTCGGATGTGCCATCATGTCTCGGAGCTGGGATAGGACAAATGCGACTGTACCCGGGGTGTGCCGTGACTGTTTTTCGAAGTATTGTTGGGATGGAGCAACAAATTCTACAACACCGGGTCCGTACACTCCGCGCATGCTTCTGGAGGCAGTCAAGGTGGAGGGCATCGCCGGGACGATAAAGCCGATGTCTGGACTCTCCTTTGTTGCCACAGCTCTAGCATTGGTGGTTATTGGGTTCTAGAAGAAGTATTTGGGAGCTTTGGGAATGAGGAAGGGTTCAGAAGTGGTAATCCATGGGCCGTGCCATGGGGAAGCTTTTCTTTTCTTGAGTGCAGCCGTTGCTAAAAGACAACTGTGCCCTGATAGTGTGCACGTGGCTTTTTCTTTTGTCGAAACAGTATACATTTACCAAATTGATAGACGCATTAATACTAGAAAATAAATAGTCGAATGTGGGAAGAATAATCTCGTCTTCGTCAACTTGGTCTGAAGCGAAATCTTCGGCAGACGAAAGATTCCACCCCGTCGATAAACATGTTTTCTTGAGGTCCCTCATAAGCATGGTTCATGATGAATATTTCAATTACGCTGTGCGTATTTCTGGTGGCATAAAATTTCGAGGTCCGGCAGTCTATGTGGTAATCAACCACATGCCTTAACTAGTCGTGTCCTCGGGACTTGTCACCAGACCAATGTCAGGCTTAATCGAAATTTTCTGAAGACAAATGTGACACTATCCACCTTGATTGCGCCTTACGAGAGATCCTACACTTCTGCCACCTTATATCGAAAAGGAAGCCGGCTGACACGATTGAGAGCAATGTGCGGACAAGTTCAAATTGATGTTGCAGCAAATAGTGGTCGTCTGAACGCGACCACTTGTTTTCAAATTTGTCTAATTTACAGTCTAAGTACTCCTCAAGCCGCACCCCACCGACATCAAATCAGGCCCCTGTCCCGTCTGCCCTGTCCTTCTTTCCGGTCCGATGAACAACGAAACAAGCGTCTTCTGAAGTTAGTTCATAATTTACACTACCTAACCAAACTCCTCATATAGTGACTTACAGATTGAGCCAGGTAATAAAGCACAAATCGACAACAAAGTACAGATGAGCGTCTCAGAGCCGCAGCCGCAGCGGAAAAAGACTGCCAGAGGCGGGAAGAGCAATGCGAGTATATATGCGCAGAAGTTGCCCTAGTAAATCTAATATCAGCTGCCAAAGTCTTAGAAGCCAAGATCCTGCACTTTCAAGAAGGCCACAGCACAGGATGGGCAGGAAAGGCCCAAGTAAGTACTCACCATTTTGAAAATGATGAAGCTCGGTCGATAGAGGACAAGTACCCGGGTTGACTGACAAGGCAACTTAGCGAATGCGATGAATAAGTGTGAAGATGGCTGTTGAATGCTGTGGTCAAATCGTACAGAGTGCTGGGTAACTGGCTGGCTTTTATCAGAAGCGGCTTTCCTTTGAATTGCAAGCCTCAATGATTCTCTGAAGCTGAATCTTAAGATTAAACCTGGGACTTTCTCCACGAGGTCACGAATGTAGGCTTGGACCATCCTAGTACAAAAGTTTCTGGGTTGCTATGATTGGCTGCATCGTAAAAGTCCTTAGGAGCGTTTCGACGCTACATGTGGTAGGCCCGTAAAACAAGGTGGGGCCACACCACTTCTTGTCATGACCGAGGGGCACACCATGAGAGTTCCAAATGTACGGCGGCCTCCGTTTTGATGCTTGGCTCGAAGAAATACTTCGTCAAAACCCTTGAAATCTAGTGTCACGGCAAGTCCGATTCCCACTTGCCAGCGACTGCTTGTTCATAGCCGGGATATTCATGCGACACAGGTTCCAAGTTTTGTGGCCGAAGATAACATCGCTGACCTTGGGATTGCCCCACGAAATATCTCATCGACTCGGAAATGAATCTAGCTTCTTAACGAGTCCAAGCAGAGCGAATACCAACTTGTATGCCCCAGTAGACGTTGTATTCAAGTCACAAGAAGGGACGTCGCCGAATATGTTCTTCAGCGAATGGGATCCGCTTCTTCGTATTCAACAATCGTATTCCATGTCACTTTGAATCAACCTCTACGTCTAGATGCTTTCACATGTCCAGTATGCGCCAATCCTTGTTTATATTTCTTGAAGGTGGAATTTTCTGTGTCGCCAGATGGTCTTGTTCAGGAAGGGGACATGGTTGAGTGTTTGTTCGTTGGGACTAACGACGACATTACCTCCTGTTATTCTCTTGTGGTCAGCAAATGCCTAACTGAGAGTAAGGCTTATCATAAGCGTGTTGGCATCTATATCATTAATCTGGAAGGCGATAAACAGACCGCTTCTAATATCACGGAAAAAGAGAAGTTACAGTCATAGAATTCATTAGACGTAGGGAATCTCTCTTCAATTCGATATCATGTGACTCAAGTCTGCCCTTTAGAAGACGAAATTCGTGACGGAAACTCCGCGGCGGAATGCACAAAAAAATGCAGCATACGCATCAATGATGCCAATGCCTACCTGCGAAGGATAGTTCGCAGTTCCCGAGATTGGAAGTTGGGCTTTTGGTAAATTACAGGCGCAGCCGGCGAGGCGTCTGAAGAATCGCCCTGAAACATTCTGAACAAGTTTTATATGCATTGCACTAATGAATCCCGCAGGCTTCCACTGTTGAGTGCCAGCAGGCGCTAGTCAAAAATGCCCTGCCGCAGCACATGCTAAGCCTGCATTTCTGTGCAGGCGCTCTGGTGTTGTATTCCCAGACAGGCAGATCTACGAAGATCAGATAGTACGCAGTAGCCCATGCACGTGGCACCCAGGCCGGCCAAAAGATGGTCAACGACTAAGTCAAGGTCTGACGTCGGCTTAGAATCTCAATTCCTACGCCACCGACCTCATTTTTGTACTTAGTGCGGCGTCCAGTGATCGCCAATAGGCGGTTGCTGTCTCACCCACCGAGTGACTTTGTATATCTCTTTGAGGATTAGTGGCTGGTGGCGCTTGGCGCCCCCAGCGTATTTGCCAAACTGGGAATAGCATCACCCTGCTACTGGGAACGTCACTGACGCCCAAACCTGCTATATAATTCTTGCCAAGCGACCTTCAAATTCACATCCATCTAGTTGGAGTCACCTCAACAAGAACACCACCGCTTCAACTTCGTTAAAACTAGGCGATAAACACACTTAAGTTCTTCCCTCAAAAACATCAAACTAGTTATTCAATTAGGGCACGGTATTGAGGCGTGCTATCCACATCATCTTTGTACCCTTTCAATCATGAGCTCAGTATCGTCTGGGAACTCCAACTACGGCGACGCGCCTCCTGGCTATAAGGAGTCGCTCGCCTCGGGAACTTTCGTATCACCCAGCGACAGTGGCATCATCAGCCAACTTGACATACAGGCCATTGGCTACGACACGAACCAGGCCCTCACGGGCAATGTGCTGGAAAATATCTCCGTCTACCGTGTTGGCTCTGGCGAGCTAGATTACACATCCATTCGGCTCAAGAAGAACTCCAACTCCTGCGCGCTCGTCCGCGGGTCCGACTCTAGCCAGACACCTCTAATATCAACGATTTACCGTTGGGGTCCGGGTCGGCGTCCCAGAATGAGGATCCTGTCCCCGGGAGCTGCTGCCACCGTGGAAGAGGCAATTGAATCAGACCATCTCGTGTGCGAGGTAGTTGAGGTCAAAAGTCGCAACATGATGTCGCGCACGCAGGAACTGAAGACGTCGTTCGGCACGTTTGAGTGGCGCTACGGTGGGCGCGACGAGCGCAAAGAAGCCTCTGAGGCATCCTCACTTCTGGTCTTGGAACGCACCGACGACGCCGCCCTGGCGGCGGCCAGCAATGGCAAGGTGGGCAAGCACGGCGTCCCGATCGCTCAGCTTGTGCGCAACGCGGATCTCCGCACTCCCGGAACCAGTCGCTGGATGGGTGGCAATGGCGGGCGCTTGATCATGAACCTTGGGATGTGGATGGATGACAAGAAAACGACAACCAAGGACGCCGAAGCTTTCATCGTCGCCAGTTGCATCCTAATGCTCAAGCGCGAGGCCGATCGCTTTAAGGACAACACGATTGCTGCTGTGGTTTAAGTCAGGCAAGCCAATGATATGGCTGCAAGTCAATCGTGACTTGATGTGTTCACGATGAGACAGCCGAGTAGAGATTTGATGAGCGACAAATTATGTTTATTACGGATGAATACCAGTGAAAGCAAGTACTCGAAGAAGAGAAAATGACAGAGGAGTTAAGCTTGTGCCATTTTCACACCTTAAACAAATTTGAGAGCGAAACATGCATTTACAAAAAAGCCAATGCTATAGGCAACGATGGTGAGGGTTGTGGATTTGAAACGCTGCAAATCCCCCAAGCTTGGATTCTAACATCCAGCTGTGTCGCCATCCGCGAATGATGCTCAAAATCGCCAAGTCAGGGTGAGAGCCGCGGCCAGGTTCGCCGATAACTGCACCGAGACGCGGGGAATAGCTATCCCAATAGGGAAGCGGATAGCTCCAGCCGACGAGATCGTCGACGAAACACCCGAATGGACTGAATACAAATTTTACCGCCGGGCACGCCATTTGACATCAAGATCCGTATTAAATAATAGGAGGACGCAGCTTAAGTCCCTGGTTGCTGATCACTCTCCCTGCATCTGATCTTCTCTAATCGTGCAAAGCTGTTCTCCTCCTCACGCATCAACGACATCAACATCTTTACGGTGTTGAGGATGCGGCTTCCTGCACTCCTTTCCCTGGGGTTGTTTGCCGTCGTCTCCGCGCTGTCCATCGAGCCGGAGTCGCTTCGTACAGAAGGCGTGACAGCGCCGCTGGGCATCCATGCGCCCAATCCGCTGTTGTCTTGGCGCCTCCAATCTGAACGCCGCGGCGATAATCAGACTGCCTACCAACTTCAGGCTGCCTCGACCTCCGACGGTTTCGATGCGCCTGACTTGTGGGACACTGGGAAGCTGAGCAATACTCAAGCTTTTGCGCCTTGGGACGGCAGCACTCTAAGTTCCCGGGACCAAGTATACTGGCGTGTTCGAGCCTGGGACGCAGATGATGTTGCGTCATCATGTCATGGTCGCGTATATGGACTACCTCGGCCGCCGAGCGACCGACTCGGTAATTGAAGGTGTTGGACTGAGTGACTGGGGCGCCGGCGACGGGAAAACTCCCACCGTGCCTATCGGGTTGACCAATACTTTTGGCTATCATCAGGCTGC